CCTTAAAAAAAAATATAATATAATAATTCCATTGAATAATCCAATTATTAAAAAAAAAAAGAAAAAAAAAAGAAAGAAAGAACAAGAACAAGAACAAGAAGAAGTTGTTAACATTAAATATATTAAAAAAGAAAGAAAAAAGATTGAAGGTATATTTAGTTTTTGTTGTGAACCTTATAAAAAAAACAAAAAAAAAAGAAAAGAAGAAAAGTAGTTAACATTAAATATATTAAAAAAGAAAGAAAGAGGATTGAAGGTATATTTAGCTTTTGTTGTGAACCTTATAAAAAAAACAAAAAAAAAAAAGAAGAAAAGTTGTTAACGTTAAATATATTAAAAAAGAAAGAAAAAAGATTGAAGGTATATTTAGCTTTTGTTGTGAACTTAAAAATAAATAAAAAAAAGTGGTTGTTAACATTAAATATAAAAAAAAAATAAAAATAAAATAAAAATGGGGATTAAAGTGAGTTGGAGAAAATCCAAACCCATTAGAAAATGGGGAGGGTGGTACCCATGGGGAATGAGAAAAATTTATTATAGGGGAATGGGGATGGAGAATTAATATCCACCCCATTAACCCCCATTGCCATCCCTAATTCTATCCATACAAAGGTAAAATTTTAACTAATAAGGTTATGATTATTATAACTTGCCAAAAACGAATTAATTTAATATTTATTATGGCACTAAAGGAATGTTAGATGAAAAATCATCATCACAATTCATGGACAAACATAACTGAAAAATGATTTATGTATTGACATTTAAGGCTAGTAAGGTACTAGCCAGCTTGGAACCAACATGAAAATGGACAAGAAAACCTTAAAAAAAATCCATAACCATAACAGCCAAAGTTTTGCACATTAGGAGTCGTTGAAGAAGAAGCATTGATATGAGATGTTTTACTCTCAAAGTGATCAACCATTCTGGTGCCATTTACTAAGAAAAATGGCGAAGGGTTTGTGGTGCTCTCGACTTGAATTTTGTTCGCCTGATAGGTTACATTCTTCTTGAGCTCAACCATTGAATTCCTAAGTTGTTCAAGCTCATGCAAGCCAAGCTTGTCTATTGGAGCTTCCCACCAGTATTGTCTTTGACTAGCTTTTCTCGTGTGATCTAAGGTTTCACCATGTCTTTTCTCGGCTTCCAATTCATTGAGAACTTAAGTAAGTTGTAAGTTGAGCTCGCGCACGCTAGCTTTACGATGAGCCTCAATAAGGTTGCGTGTGGTGGTGTTAGGTGGAGGGTTTCGAGTAAGGAATTGATCAACGATAGAATCCACATTAAGGTGGCCAAAAGAAAACACTTTGTCAGCTGGAGAGAAAACTATGATAGCAATCTCTATGCCACAAAGCGTGCAAAGTTCGCTAGCCTTCTTGAAAAGCCCAGATTGACGTTTTGAGAAGGTGACTTGCAAGTGATTTTTGATCTCTATTTTCACAATTTTGATCTTTTGGCAACCCATGCTTGGTTTCTTTGCCATGGCTAAAACTATTGACGAACTCTTCTCTTCCCATTAGAGAGAAAAAAAAGAATTCACATTTACTATGGAGATGTTTAGATGAAACATGAGCAATTTAAAGTAACTAGGAATTTACTCATAAAGCTGGCCAATATAATTGTGTTTTGAGGTTTTGATTACTAGTTTATTAATGTGTTGATTTGAGAGTTATAAAATCTTATGCTCTTAATGCATGAGATTATAAAATAAATTTTTTTCCTAGTTGGCATTATAAGAAGCTAGTCTATGTGGGTTGCTGTGGTGGTTTGTGTTGTATGTCTTATGTTAGCATTGGAGTTCTTGTGTGTGCTTGGCTTTGTGTCCTCTATTTTGGTTTTTTTGGTTTTTTTGCGGTTGGTTACTTACCAACTATTGATGGTGTGCTAACAAATGAGAAGGTGGATTTATCGGTGCCAACTTAGTTGGGATTGGTTTGTTTTTGCACTCATCATTTTCTTTATTGATGTAATTCTCTTTGGTTTTTGCTAATAAAAAAATAAGAAGCTGTTTGACTTTTCATGTCAAAGTCAATTGTTTAGTTGTAAATTACTATGATCTAACTCCCCAAAAAAAATTAAAAATCTTCATGGGAAAATGTTATTTTTTCATCTATTCAAAAGAAACTTATTCAACTTGAAGTCAACTAATTATTTTATATTTAGCAATTGTTATTGGTTTATTCCTTAACTCTTAAAAAAAAATTAGTTGTTTATGTATACAAATTTATTAAAGAGAAAACTTAAGTTTCAACATCAACAACTATTGCTACCATTGAAAATTAAAAGATATAATTGAACATTGGGATTATATACAAAATTACTTGGAAAATTAAAATATGTCAAAATAAATTTGAGCTGTAAAAGCAAAATACAATTCACCATTTCAAAAGAGGAAGACATAAAAGGGAAAAAAATATAAGGAAAAGTCGATATTCGTAACGTAAAATTGGACAGAAAAGCTCAAGAAACTGCTAAAAATATCAGGTAATTATAAGGTTTTGTATTACTTGAAAAATCATTAAATTGTTGAATTCGAACTTATCTATTATTTGTAACGTTTGTGATTTGATTAATTAACAATACCATTATAACCATGTGCCAATTTATTCATTATTGATTTTCCCATGTAAAGCTTCTATTACTAACTCTGTCTTCTAATAAGAATAATGTGAGTAACCTGCACCATCTGCCCCTTTTTCTTTTTTCTTTTTTCTTTTTGTCTTTTTTTTTTTATTATTAATTCATTTACTTATTTTTAATTTGTAGAAAACTAGTATCACCCATTTTTGAGAACTCTACTCATAGATATACCATTGTCATGGTTACTCTAAAGCCAAAAAATCACTATAAATTGTCACAGCATTCTTTCTATTTTCTGCACTTTCAACTTTTAACTTTACTCTTTTTGTTATTGCAAATTTTGACTTTTACTTAAACTAGGAATATAGATAAAAATAAGTCTTCAATTCAAGAATTGTGAAAAGACCTTCATAATCAACTTATTTAAAATTCATTTGAGTTCGAGATAATGAGTTCATGTAGACCCAAGCTCTGCTCAATTAGGCTCATTAACAAAAAATATATAAATTAATATTTATTTTTAACAATATATCAAATATATTTCATTTCTCTATTTTATATTAAATTTACATAATTAATGAATGAAATTTATTTTTAATTACATTTTGCTCATAATGTTCTCTTTTTCACATAATATGCAAATTAATTTGATTTTAAAAATTAAAAAAAAAATTTGAGCTCAGCTAGTTTATTTGATCCAGTTGACCCAAATCAAACTCAGGTTTCTCAAATTTTTGACAAACCAACCTCGAGCTACTAATCTTTGCCCACTTCTATATGTTTGCTTGTTATCCTTTATGGACTAGTTTGATTAGCCAGATTAAAGTATTAGACTGGGAACACAAATCTTTTGGACTCATATTCCAACGTTTAATTGTAAATTTTTTCTATTGCAATTAGATATCTAATGGATAGCTAATCCCACAAAAATGTGTATATGTTCAGTATTGGTCATCAAATGGGACCTGCGGTGGACCGTGGGCCTGAATTGAAATTTATTTGTACTTTTTTATATGAATCACCGAATTGAAACATTAAAACATGATTTGAAGTGGACCCGTGGTCCAACCCTTACATTTATCGAGTGCTTGAGGGATTATTGTTTTACATCATGTCACAAAGTAATTAATTAATAAAAAAATTAAAATTTTTCTACAATATTTAAAGTGAATGTCAGGGTTGTCATATTATTCAAAAAATTTAAGTTTTAAATTTCATCCATGTCATCGCTCTCTCTAGTGAAGTACCTATATCGTTGAATGAAATGAGAAGTCACGGGTTCAGTGGACTAATGGTTTTATGGGACATTGTTTTATAGATTCATTATGTAAAAGTTTAATAGATTAAGTTTTACAAAAATGAATAAATAAATTTAACATATTAAGTTTTATCATTCCTTCAATAAAATACTATTATCTTGTTAAAAGGTGATATGTGTATATGTAAACATAAAATTTCAGAACATAAACCTTACACTTTGGATCATTTACCATGTGTATTATCAAGAGATCAAGACAAAATGACATACCTGAATCCATTGATGAACGGTTAAACGGAAGCGTCTGATTGTCAATAAAACCTTAATATTGACTTTGTTAGAGCCTTCTAATCCTTTCCCTTATGTGCCTTATGTTTCTCCTTGAGAGGATTTAGAAAACAAAACAGTATTCTTGTTTTTTTTTCACTCTTGGGAAGGAATAGGGACCATAACCTTTTAAAGGTTGTAATTGGTTTTCATAACTGAAAGGTAATGAAAACCAATAAATTAACCATTATTGGTTTCATAACTGAAAGGTAATAAAAACCAATAAATTAACCATTATTAGTTTCATAACTGAAAGGTAATAAAAACCAATAAATTAGGGGGTGGTTTCTATTTTTCCCATAAATTACTTGTATTTTCATGACTTCGTAATTTTTTTTGAGTTCATACCATTTTATTTTATTTTATTTGCAATTTTTCCTTTTTTTTTTATATATATCTCTCAAATGTTCTCTAGAAAAAATATAGACAAAAACCCCAAAAAAGAGAAAACTTGAAGTTATTTTCACAGGAAGTTTTAATTAATGCTCTCTATGGCAGCATAAGTATATGGCAATCCAATTTGGCTCACTTTCTGTACTACAGCCAGCTAAAATGGCCCCAGACATGCAATGTGAAATCAATACATCTCTTATCCATGGATTCATTTGTTGTAACATTCACCATTTTCTCAAGTTGAAAATTTGAAGACACTCACACGCACAAAATGCAGTAAAGATTCATATCAAATTGGAGAAGAGTTTTTCAGAAAAATGGAACCATCACATTAATATCCAATGTAAATTGCAGTATCATCAAGAAAAGAGGGTCAATTTTTTTAGGGCACTTGAAGCTTTAGAAATCGAAAGCAGGGCAAAACAATGTAAAAACATTAGCATTGGACAAGTTAAAAGAAGAACAAAAAAGGCCTTTGTTTATCATCAAAGGGTTCATAAATGATAAATCACAAATACTGAATTAATTCGCCATCTCACAATTATTAACAATTAACATCAGTCTTGATTGGTCAGGATCAAAACAATTGAACAAAAGAAAGCTAACAGTAACAAGATCTTGCAAATTGCTTAACCAAAATAGACCACATAAATGTTGCATTAGTAAACACCAACTAACAGACTCAAAAGTAACTGTTGTCAATCAAATAGAACCAATAAGTATGACAGGAAATGCTAACCTGACACCTCGTTCTCTATTTTTTGAAATCTGCATTTTTTCACCGCAGCTAGGTAGAGACCTTTTGAAAACCCACTTCAATCATTGAAGAGCAAAGAAGAGATGCTATAGAAATCAAACCGTTTCATGCTGTCACAAAAGAAGAGAAAACAATTTCACTCCAAAAATTAGAACACCATAGGGGAAACAATTGTTGATGGCACATCCACCATCACAATCAAAGCACATACTGATGTAAGAAATTCAAGGATGTGAGACTCCTTCACAGCATCTGTTGCACTTTTCATCAAGGCCTGACCAAATAAAAAATATTTCGGAGCAACAAATACATTAAATACAGTAAATAAACAGTTTTGCTTCAACCAACCACTTTAATATTCCTTCTTTTTTTTAGTACTCTTTCCAAAAAACAAAAAAGAAACTAACCGCTTTAACATTGTCCAAGCTTAGGGTGCCACTTTTGTTTGGTTCCAATAGCACAAACTGCTCCTTCACTTTCCAAAAAAACAAAAAAGAAACTAACCGCTTTAACATTGTCCAAGCTTAGGGTGCCACTTTTGTTTGGTTCCAATAGCATAGACTGCCCCTTCAAAGCCTGCCAAATAACATGAGGAAAAAAAAAATAAAAAATTGGGAAACGAACTATTAGAATGTTTACAATAAGAAAATAACATGTCAAATGGAAAGCACAAATTGAATAGAAAACAAAACAAATGCAAATTAAGCATCACCAGACAAATAATGTCAAAACATAACACAAATTGAATAGAAAACAAAACAAATGCAAATTAAGCATCACCAGAAAATAATGTCAAAACATAACTTCAAGGGAGCATAATTTCCGATGGTCATTAGAACTACATCTCATGATCCAACTGGGGGTATTTTTGCAATCAAATTACCTTAATATATATTTTGAAGTAAAGGAAAAAAAACTGCAAATTTTCTATTTCTATTTTCATAGGCATATTAGCAAACATATGGTGTGCACAATTTACACATAAATTAGAGTAAAGAGAAACAAGAACATCGAAACCACATGTTGGTACATCTTGGAAGACAAATAAGCATGGAAGCAGCTATCTACATACCAGATTGTCCAGCTATCTCGAAAGAGCATTAAAATACAAAGCTAAATGGAGTTCCAGTTCGCAAAAACACCAATAAAAAATACAAAACATAGGGGAAAGCAGAACGTAGTAGGGAATTCCACACACCTGGTTGTCTGGTTGTGCACTTGTTGTTCTTGGTTTCAGCACTTCCGAAAGATGTAGAGTTCTGCCGCTTTGCCGCTACACCCTGTGAAGACACCTCAGCATTTGCCCAACTCAACAGCAACCGATACACCGCCATAGGATTGAGATTTAATAGGCGACAGCAACAGTGGCAATTGCGCACTTCCACAAATTCAAGTTGGGGGCTTTTCGGTGGACCTGTGGGTCGGTGAAGACTGCTCTTCAAATTTAAAGGGGCAAAATTTGTTTTCTTCCTCATAGTCGGTGTGGATGACTTGAATGCACACCTTGCAGCCCAAGCCAAGCTTTACACCATGTTACACCACCCTTATCTTCTTTTTATATATGTTATAGATTAGTGAAATATTTAGATGATATAGCAGTACTTAAAAAATAAATAAAATAAAATAAAAATGTTGCAAGGCACACTTTCATGAGACCCATCATATTTTTATATATAAAAAAAATAAAAATTAAAAATTATGAAACCCATCATGTCATATGAAAATCCACATATAATTTTTTTTTTTATAATATTAGTAAAATATTTGGATGATATAGCAGCACTTAAAAAATAAATAAAATAAAATAAAAATCTTGGGGACATAAATTGTTGCAAGGCACACTTTCATTTATCTAGTAGTGTTATTTGGAGTTTTAAACCCTTTAATATGTAATTTTAACCAACCTCAAAAAATTACAAGACAAATGGCAGCCTCTGCTTGGCTCCCCCCAGCCAAAACGAAAAAAAGAAGAAAAATGGGTCATTTTGTTTGAACTAAAAAATTATGTGAGTACGTTGAATTCAAAATTTAAAATTTTAATTTTTATTATATTTTAATATAAATTTATTAATAATGACAACACATATTAAGTATTAAAAATAATTTTTTTTTCTCATGATACACCCTAATCAATTATACATATTTTTATTATTCAAATATCTTCATCTTTTTCTTTAAATTTCAATTATTTTCTCTTTTTCTTCTTTCTCAGTTCAAAACCTTAATTGCTCCACCAAAACTCACAATTATCATCAAATTCATTGTTTTTTATTATATTGTTACTTGCAAATAAAAGAAAGTTTGAACAAAATCAAATAATAGATAAGAATAATAATCAAAATAATTTTTTGAAACAACCCATCAAAGAGGAGGTAAATATTCACATAAAAGCAAACAATTTCAAATTACAATTATTGATTTCTGTATTTTTTTTTACATAAAAGTGAATATTCAACTTGTTTTTCATTATTATTTTTCAGACTTTCAGAACTAAACAAATTCACTTTGTTCGGCAGTGTACAGCCGAACAAAGTGAATAAGTGAATTTGTTTGGTTCAGAAAGTCCGAACAATAATGACGAAAAACAGGCTGAATATTCATCGTCCTCCTTCCCTGTTCTTCTTCTCCTTCGTCGTCCTCCTTCGCCAGTGCCGGGTTTCTTGATCATATTCCATGTATGTACATGAACAAAAGAAAGATTTTTCAAAACATAATTTGAATTTTTTAATTTGTTTTATTTGGGTGTACCTCAAAAGGGTAATTTGAAAAGGAAAAAAAAAAAATAGAATGTACTAAGAATAAATTATAACTCTCAATAATTTAATATGATGTACTGAAAAACTATGCACACTCAAACATTTTTTTTGTGTAAATAGAATCTCCCATGAAACTTACAAAGTAAAAAACATATAGAAGTGAGCACGGTCCAGCCCAGCCCACTCACTTCAGTCCTATTTTTTCAAGTTTATGGGCCTATGGACCAATCTACTTATGGGCCTTCCACCCAAAACGAAGGAAGGTATAGTAAAAGCAGAGAGGAGTGGGAAAGGCCCAGCCCAGCGCGACCCAGTCATTCAGTTCAGCCCTATTTTTTTCAAGGTCTGGAATTAAGATTTTAGTATATTGGTCCGAGTAATGTAGCTTATTTAGGCTAGTTTAATTTTGGGGGACTTACCAGCCGATCCCATGGAAATAAATTAATACCCACCAAGTCCTGTCTTATTTCAATTTCCAATTTTACCCCTCAATGTCACACTACACACGTGAAGCAAAGAAGATATCAAGAGCTCTCCCCTGTGCTCGTGACACACACACTCCTTCTCAATTATTCTGATTTAGAAACTATTCTGAGGCGATTGGCAATTTGGAAATCGAAACAAACGAAAAGATTTTCCCTGAATCTCTCATAGTTTCCAAAGAAATCACCTCTGTTTCGATCCATATTTTGATTCTGAACAGATCCCCAGCAAATCTTCCACCGTTTCGATCTATATTCCCTGTTTAGTTCATCTTCAACAAACATGCGAATCAAACGTGAGTCGTATTCATCTTCCGTTCTTCTTTTATAACTATAATTAAGTGATAATCAACTTCATAATAATCACATCTTCATGTTCATTTTAAGGGTGAAATCGGTTCAGTTCGGTCAGTTTTTTCACTAGTTTTGAACCGAACCGATAATTTCGGTTTTTCATATTTGTGAATCGAACCACCCAGAAAAATGACATAAACCAGCGCGGTTCGGTTTATTACGATGCAGTGCGGTTTTTTGGTTTTTTCGATTTTTTGGCCCTTTTTTTTCCCTGGTTGGGCCTCACATTTTGGGTCTATATTTCTATCCATTTTGCATAAAATTTGGGCTCAGCCCATGTAATTCCTACATAGGTTTAGGGCCTCACATTTTGGGCCTATTAATATTATATAAGTCGGTAAGGTGAGGTGAGGTGAGGTGAGGTTCAAAAAACCAAAAACCATAAACCGGACCGAATGTACAGAAAAACATAAACTGAACCGAACCGAACGATTGAAAACTTAAAACACCGACCGAAAATTGTTCGGTTTGGTCGGTTCAGTCGGTTTGGTCAGTCCTTCCGGTTATTCTTTCACCTCTAGTTTATTTGCCATACAATAATAGATTTGCTTATTTTGCCCAATTCAGTGAGAAAATTTGCTATAAGAATGATAGATTTGCTTAATTTTCGTAATTGAGTAATAAAATTTGTTATAATGATGGATTTGCTTCCCTTCTTCTTTCATAACTATAATTGAGTTATAAAATTCAACTTGAAGCTATTTTCAATGTGTATCATACAAAATTAATTTATGATTGATATTCAACTTCATAATAATCACATCTTCATGTTCATTTGTTATACAATGATGGATTTGCTTACTTTTGCTAATTCGGTGATAAAATTTGATATACAATAACAGATTTGCTTACTTTGCCCAATTCAGTGAGAAAATTTGCTATAAGAATGGTAGGTTTGCTTAATTTTTCTAATTGAGTGATAAAATTTGTTATAATGATAGATTTGCTTCTCTTCTTATTTCATAAGTATGGATTTGCTTCCCTTCTTCTTTCATAACTATAATTGAGTAATAAAATTCAACTTGAAGCTATTTTCAATGTGTATTATACGGTATTAATTTATGAGTGATATTCAACTTCATAATAATCACATCTTCATGCTCATTTGCTATACAATGATGGATTTGCTTACTTTTGCTAATTCGGTGATAAAATTTGATATACAATGACAAATTTGCTTACTTTGCCCAATTCAGTGATAAAATTTGCTATAAGAATAATAGATTTGCTTAATTTTCCTAGTTGAGTGATAAAATTTGTTATAATGATAAATTTGCCTCCCTTCTTCTCTCATAACTAGAATTGAGTGATACAATTCGACTTGAAGCTATTTTCAATCTGTACCATACAGTATTAATTTATGAGCGATATTCAACTTCATAATAATCACATCTTCATGTTCATTTCCTATACAATGATGGATTTGCTTATTTTTGCTAATCCAGTGATAAAATTTGCTATACAATACCAGATTTGCTTACTTTGCCCAAATCAGTGAGAAAATTTTCTATAAGAATGATAGATTTGCTTTATTTTCCTAATTGAGTGATAAAATTTGTTATAATGATGAATTTTCTTCCCTTCTTCTTTCATAACTATAATTGAGTGATAAAATTCGACTTGAAACTATTTTCAATCTGTACCATACAGTATTAATTTATGAGTGATATTCAACTTCATAATAATCATGTCTTTATGTTCATTTGCTATAAAATGATGCATTTGCTTACTTTTGCTAATTCAGTGATAAAATTTGCTGCACAATGACAGATTTGCTTACTTTGCCTAATTGAGTGATAAAATTTGCTATACAATGAAGAATTTCCTTACTTTGTCTAATTCAGTGATAAAATTTGTTATAACAATGATAGATTTGCTTAATT